AGGCTTTCTGGCATTTGATGGCACTTTCTGTAGCTTGTTTGTTCTTGCTATTGCAGCCAGTGTTCTCAATCAGGGTTGGCTTTTTAATAAATTTTTTTCATGTATTATTTAGTTTTGCTTGAGGTTTTTCCAAATGGATATTTTTAAGATTAGTAAGGATTTTTCAGATTGCAGTTCTGAATGTTTAACTACTTGATAAAACTGTAATTTCACGGCTGATGAATAACACATCGTCACATGAATGTTTCAACAGACTTTCTTTCAAAATGGTGTAGAAGTTGTTCCTTAATAGCAATGAAAGTATAACATGTAATGATTATCTGATTTTTATTATTATTTTGTAGTGAAGTAATACATTCTTACTTTAACTTTCAGGAAGCACAAGCTTATGCAGATGACAACAGTTTATTGTTCATGGAGACATCTGCCAAAACATCTATGAACGTAAATGAAATATTCATGGCAATTGGTGAGTTCATGAACAAACCGAGAATTCAGGGGAACTGTTTTAATGAGATACATACTATTGCAATCTTTGTAACCCAAGGTCTTTGTTTTTCACCTAAATTACTTCTTGCACTAAGGTTCGCTTAGGCCCTTTCAGATCCTTTTTGATGTTCAGAAGTCAGATAAACTTACTTGAAGCACAATTGCACAGGTCTTCTGTCAAGCACCGGAACACTTGGATTAACTTGGAGTAGCAAAGTGAAGTTACTTTTGAACTCTGTCAGCAGGTTCTCTGTAACTGTTTTGATTCCGTGATGAAAACTTACTGCTTCAAATTCCAAGTTTAAACTGTAGTACAAAAAACTTTTCCCATGGTATATGTAACCATAAAAAGCTTTACATGGCTTTTCTTAATCGTGAGATGTGCTTGACGCCTCTTAATCCAAAAAGTGGAAGAATGTAAGTGAAAGTGTGTAAATGTGTGCCTTTTAATGATGTGGGCAGCAGATTCCACGCTGCCTTGGATATGTGCAGAACCTGGAGTAATGTACCTTCTATGAGACAATGGTAACTGAAGCTGGAAACATTTCAAAATTGGACTTAAACTGAAATGAATATTTTTTTAAGTAAATAGCATATTTGCTAAATACATTTGTGTTAGAATTTTGTTTAAATTTCAAATGCATCTATCTGAAATACAAAAGTTGTGCTGGAGATCATAATGTGTACTTAAGTTCTATGTCAAAGTATAAGAAAAAGACACTTCATGTGAAAAGTAGCTTTACTAATACATTTTTAGCACTGACAATCTTAGGAATTTCTGTAAAGATGTAATAGTATAAATTACCTTGAAAATATGTGAATTCATTTGTTAGGCAACAAATTGTATTTTGTTGTTAATAAAATCTTGAAAGTGAAGGAGAAAGAAAGTGTGCAGTTTTAGACTGGTCACCAACCTGTTTACTAATAACCGTAATCACAATAGTTGCTCTCCGGCTGGGGAATAGTCGTGTATAGTGTCAAATAACTTTGTTACATTTGGGTTATATTTTGCACTACAGTGACCTGTTTCCCAGTTGTTTTGTGAAAAACAGCATTGCTATCAAATGTTTAGAAAGAGCTCTTATCTTCTGTTTTCCAAGTCAGTAAAGCAGAAGTTAATTTGTGGTGTGCTTCAAACTTGCAGCAGAGGCAGATTAAATTATCACTATAGCAACACTTTATAACAAGTACTTGCTTCATGTTAACTATAACTACTGGGAGGGGCGAGGGGCAACGAGACAGTGGTACATATCTGAGCAGAAACACTGTTCTGGTGAAATCTTAAAAATTTCTTTAAAAGTGAGTTTGCATCTTGTTTTTTAAAAAGGAAAAAAATAATCCTGCCAAACTAATATTTCTTAATTTGTTATATCAGCAATAATTCTTGCCTCCATATTTAAATGAAGTATACAAAGTAAATCTGAGAAAATAATGCCCAGTTATTACCTGGAATATTTTGTCTGCAAGGTTAGTTGTCCATGTCAGTATTCTTTCACATCAGTGGGTGGAATTCAGCTTTGTCAGTGTGTCAGAACAAGATCTGTGCAACAGTGGACCCTGAAAGGAGATCTTGATGAGAATATAAGTATTGAATGGAAATTGGAATGGCCTTTTGCACACCCTGGATGCAGTTCTCAGGGCCATGTGTAAATATGATCTTCAAAAATGGGAGAAAATTAAAAATGCGAACATGGGCAGAATTGAGGTGTGCAAGCTACAGCTGCTTGTAAATTGGCCGTTCTTAGAGCTCATTCAGAACTTGCAGTTAAAGTTGTGTTAGTTTACAGTACTAGAATGTGTTTAGGATCCAAAACAACAATGCTCTGAAGGCATTTTTCTGTTGGTACTTGGTCCCTGTGTGCTGTCTCAGCAGCTTTGTACCTCAATAGAACTCTGTCACAGAGTTACAGGACAGGCCGAGTTGGGAGGGACGTCAGAAGACTGTGTGATCCAACTTCTTGTGGGAGAGGGAGTCTAGATGAGATTACATACTACCCTGAGATTATCCAACACCACACCACCTCTCGTTGATGTGTAGTCTGCTGGATTTGTGGCTGTTACACTTACATTTCATTCCTTTTAGGAGAAGTTGTGCTTTAAAAAGCTGGCTGACTTGGGATTTGAAGCATGTAGCCGAGCTGTAGAACAGGGATGGTGGTTGAGTCCTGGTAACGTGGGCAAGACAGCCCCATGGAGGCCCTTTTGTATAGAACTTAGCAATTTTCTGATGGAGAGAAAGCTAGGAGAAGCTACTATTCAGAAGGGTAACATTTGTCACCCTTACTTTTTGTGTCTGGACTGAGGAGGTACCCTGGAACTGTAAGGACAGCACAGATATTACCACACTCAACTGACTCATAAGAGCTGGAGAGAAGAGACAGCTTGAAAAAAAGAGGCTTGATTCAGGGCTGAGGGCCATTCTATATGTTCTATGCAAATACTTACTCTGGCTAGGTAGCTGGGCAATAGTTTGACCCATTTCTGTCTCATGTTTTGTGCCTTTTAAATCTTTGTGTATCTCTGGCACTGATGTTCTGGCCTTAAAGCCTGTTCTGTGTACGTGGATTCCCACAAGAGCATTGTTTCCTGGCATAGCACACCTGTGCAGATAACATTTTACTGCTCAAGTTTCTAATGCATTTCACTCTTGAAAATCATAGATAAGGTAGTTGATTGGTAATAGAAGCTAAGACACTTCTTAACAACACACTGAATCAGATTTCATAGAGATTTTATCGATATGCTTATGGAGTCATAGTGCTGACTGTTTGTGTAACTCAGGTGATTTAATCTTGGTACAGTCTCAGTTTTAACTCTTCTTTTCTGTTGATTTTATAGCAAAAAAATTGCCAAAGAACGAACCACAGAATGCAGGAGCCAACTCTGCCAGAGGAAGAGGAGTAGATCTTACTGAACCCACGCAATCACCCAAGAGTCAATGTTGTAGTAATTAAAACATCAATTGCTTTAAACTGTTCTGAATATTCTTCTGCTTCCTAACTGTTAATAACCATGGAATTGGAGTGCTTAACCTGGCCCAGTACAGCTTCCAAACAGCGAAGAGACTTATGATAATAGTCAAGTTCATGATACAGAGTTTTCTTTTGACCTAGAAATTTTAACATGCATGTATCCACCACTGGCTGTAATATTTCAGCAGTAGAGGAGAGATGGAATCGGAATATACTTCCTTCAGTTGAAAGATTTTAAAAATCACTTTGCATTAAGGGTGTAGACCTGCTTTCCATGGACCTAATTGGCCAGTTCCTGTAGCCTCAATACTGATTACTGTTATAATAAATAGAATTGGGACTTTTCATCATTCTCAGTTGTGCTTTAAAACCTTTTTAGAAACAGGGTCTAAAAATTACTTACTTATCCACAGTACTGATACAAGCAATTGTTTCTGCAGGTGTCTACTGTTTAGTTATACATTCCATAGTTTAATAATTTAATTACAAATAATACTTGGATTAACAATTTTAAGAATCCTATGCTTGCAGGAAAGTGGAGTTTTAGTTGGTACACTGTATGTAAATTATGTCAACCTAGTTAGTTATCTAAAGGAATTAGTGGTAAATCAAGTTTGACTTGTTTCTGATCTGTTCAGAGGGTACAGACCAGTAAATTCAGTGTTACAACTTGGGCTTATTTTTTTTTTTCCCCCTCTACAAACTTTAAGAGCAATTCAAGTAAAACCACAACAAACTCAGTGTCTGTGACTTCTTTCTTGGTTTTGATCTTTGGCCATTACAGTTTAAATCTTTCCCCTAAGGAAAAAAAAATTAGTGCACTAACAATTATGTACATCCGACTTGATTTTAAATTTGGATATTAATGTACTGTAAATAGGTACTCTGCATTGTAGTCTACATTTGTTTAATACTTTCTGTAATATTTAAGAGTTGCTTAAAGGTATACAGAATGTACAGTTACTTAAAGCTAACTTTTTTCCTCTCTAATCAAAGGGGGTTCTAAGTTCTTCCTTTATGGCTAGAACAGTAATAAATGATGCTCCTGTATCTGTAACATAAGTACTGCTGTCTGTCAGTAATGAACTTTGCAACTTTGTTTTCCAAAGTACATTTTATTTTGATCTGTCCAGTATATTGCACTAATTCTTTTAGTTATTTTCATTATATGAAATCTACCAAGTGTGTCAGAAGAGATGAATTAGTCTATTTAAATGTTGAACTGATAGCAGAAACTTACTTGTGCAGATTTTAAATTTGCAGTAATCTGGGTTTAGCAAGGAAAACGGCAGTTCACCAGTGTTTAGTTTTATATTGAGGTGCTCAGGTTTGAATAAAGTGGTTTAAAAAAATATTTTTTATTACTGTTTTTTATTGAGAGTTTCAGAAGGTTTTACTGCATTTGCATAGTTCTAGACAAGATGTCTGATTTATTATATGGGTCAGCATTTAAGATGATTACAAATAAATACATGACACAGCTCAATATAAGCTGGTACTATATGTACTGTGACACTCTCGTTATCCTATGATAAATTCTTAAATGTTAAGGTAATTGGGTATCTTATCGCATCCATTTAGAAGTACAATCAAAACAGTGATATTATCTCTGGAACCTGCAGCTAATGCAGTCTTTACCAGTTGTTCGCTGATGTAGCTTGCTGCATTGATGTAGAGCATCTCGGAGGCGACGCTACTGCTTCCTGCAGTTTGTGATTCATGGCTGGATGAGTTTGGTTTTGTGTCCTCTTCAAACTGTGGTGGTGGTTTAGAACCCACTGGTGAGACAGTCTTTAGCAGTTCTTGACCAGGGTAATTTACAGATGTGTCGTAAAGTATCTCTGAGTCTGTTTTTTCTGCCAGTTGTGGGCCCAAGTCATAATTAGATAGGCGTGCTTTTGTGTCTTTTGGGGGCTGTTTTATATCTTTAGAGTGTATTGCCAGTACGTTCTCTTGCAACTGTTTGTGGTTGTGACTTGGACCTGTTGCACAGAAAGTGTCTGTGTCTGTTTCTTCTTGCTCTGAAGGATGTGGCTGAAAACTATAACATAGATTAATTTTTCTGTCCTCAAATGGTTGCAGTTCTTCAGAGCCACCTTGTGCGCTGGAATCGGACTGCTCTATCTCTCTATTCTGTGAATTTAGCCCGTTGTTACTGAAAAGAGACAGTTGTGGATCAGATGGATTTTTGTGGTCATCAGTTTCCTTAGGAACTCCATCTTCACTTTGCAAATAGTCCCTCCTAGAATTTTGGGGCTTTTTTTGTTCCAGGTTGCCTTTTGAGTCATTGAGAAAAACGTCTTTATTGTAACAGAGTACCTCTGCTCCATCCTGCAGATCATTAATAGCCTCTGAGTCATTTAAATTGTATTCAGTGAGGGACATCAAATACTGACACACATTTGGAGAAGTTCTGATTTGCTGAACACTTTCATACATTCTCAAATAATGAGTGAATGTTGTCAGAGTTAATGCAAGTACTTCATTGTGATCCAAAACCTCCCAAAGCCCATTAGAAGCTAAAATAAGGAATGGACAGGTATCATCAATAGGGACGGATACGGTGTGGGGTACAGGTATAACAGATCTTTTCAGTACTGGATCTCCGTGATGTCCAAGACCCCTTGTAGTTCTCAGGTACCCCTCTACTAATCCATCCGGTTCGTTAGTGCTGATGTTTCCCCCACTCTGAAGTACACGTTTTCTCTCGCTTATGTTAGAAGTGCTGTGCTCTCTCGAGAGGCAGTGACTCTTTCCATTTTTACATAAGACTGCGTGTGCATTACCTAAAATTGAAATAAGGTAACATTTTGAAATGTGGCATACTGATTATTTTGAAGATGCTGCTGTTGCATTAATAGTTAGCCTTTTGCTAAAGGGGGAGGGGAAGTGAGGTCATAGTTCAATTGCCCTCTGCCCCAGGCAGCAATAGGTTCATCAGTGAATCTAGTTCTATTTTACATTAAAGTTTTCAGTGGTTTTTTTTGCACTCCTGTTTTTCAGAAGGCTATTCCAAAACCTTATTCTCCTGACTGCAGTTAAACTCTTAAGAGGAGTCTTAAGTGACATTTCATTCAGTTCTCAAACACTTTTGTTAGTTTGGTTTATTTTTTTTTTCCCTACTAGAGTGTGTATTTTCAAGGTACTATTGCTGAATGAGCTCATCGAGAAGTTTCAGACTTGGACTGTTTGTGGCAGTATTACATTTCTAGTACCTGAAAATAATTTGGACATTGCATATGGTTTACAGTTTAGTAACATGATGCCTTAAATCTCTTCCTCAGTTAAAGGACCCAAGGGAGCAAGAGTTCTCACAGTCATCATGAGGCGCTGAGGATTAACTTCTTTCCTTTAGTAGAAATAGGTACTTCGCCTTTCCCTCAACAATTTTGAAATCTGCGGGTTGAGGACAAAATGTGTGGAGTTTGCAGCACTGCAGCTGACTGGTCTTGTCAGTGTTGAGCAAAGAGTAAAGCAAAGTGTCTCTGAAATGTAGTGGCATCTTCTATGGCTATGCTGCGAGAGGACCATTTTTTGTGTTAGGAGAAGTGACTGGTCTGCTCCCATGTGTTGGCATAAGGACAAAAGTCAGGTCACGTGGAAGGAACTGGAGAGGGACAGTAGTTTTCCAGGCGCTAAGCTGGCTGCAGTGTGTTTGTATTGTATTTTTAATACTGTGGCTGGACTAGGGCACACATCTCTGAGAAGTGTTTATAAATAGGTGCTGCTTATGCAGTAGTTGTATTTCTTGGGAAGTATTGGCATTGTCTAGTGTAGGAGAAAGCTAAATAAAGTCTTATGTGAAGGCAGATTCCTCTACAAGGCAATTCGGAATATCAGTCTGAAGGATACACCTTTTTTTATTGATTACAGAACGTTGATGCCTTATGTTATGTGACAGTTTCTGCTTGCTTGCTCCTCATGCCTCCAATTTTCATGGAGAGCTAGAAGATTGTCTAAAATTTCCTTTGAACCCTCCGAGTAAGACCACCAGCTATAAGCCTAGCAAATAGGCCATGTGGAACAATTTGACTTCAAGAAAGAGTAAAATCTAGTTGCTTTTGGATACAAGTCTCTTGTCTGCAAAAGAGTCAGGGCAAAAGAATCAACAAACACTAGCTGACCTATCAATGTCAGACTAAATGAAGAAGACAAGAGCTGGCCAATGCCACCATCTCCTGCTCCTCATACCTAGCTGTCCCCTTCAGTTGCTTACCTGGTGCTAAGAAACATGTCTGTGGTTCTGTAAGAACACATTCCTGGAGAGGAAGTGAAGCTTGATATTGTACGAATATTTTTTCTTGCAATTCATTTGGTGGAAAATTAAATGTATTAGATTAAATAAATGTGTATTTAGCAATGTTTCAAAAATCATAAAAGTCTTTAAGTATCCCATCAGCTTCAAGCCCTAACTCATTAGCAGAGCTTGAGTTTACAGTATATTTAATTGCAGCCAGCATAAAACCTCATCTGGGAGGGAAGGATGGAGGCAGGTAAGTAGAATGAGAAAATTTAGGTCAGGTGAGTTCTCTACGAAATTTTCCTACCTTCATCCTACCTCTCAAGCTCATTGTAATAAAAATGGGCTTCTTCCCCAATAAAGTGAAAATGAAAATGTTAGCTCTGAAAACATTACAGCCTTTCTGTGAGTTACTCCTGTATTCTATTAAAGGTATGACATATCTCCTGCAAAAATGTCCAAGCTAGTGCTAAACTAATAGAGTTCTGGTAGTGCAAAACTGTGTGGTGGAGGTAATGGCTGTAGCAACAAGTACTGGGAGAATGGAGATGGGGAAAGGGAGGAGATACACCATTGTTACTTATTTCTCTGTCAGTGTCTGTTCAAGTTAGTTTATAGTGTTCCTCAGACTGGCAGACGATTGTGTTAAAGCAAAAATGTGTTGGGTTTTTGGTTTTTTTTACTGTGATAAGTTTTTCCAAATGTGCGGTGGTTTTGGTTTGGGGGCGGTGGTTTTGGTTTGTTGGGGTTGTTTTTGCCTCCTGAAGAAATTAAGCCTCTCAAGGTTTTCATTTTCCCTGCGGATCTTTGAACCTCTTGATTAATTTCAGACAAGTTTCATATGAAGAAAGAAGTTTTACAAGTTTTGTATACACACTCATCTGAGAAGGGAAGAGTGCCCCTGGTGATGGGAAGTTGCAGTGTTAGCACGCTGGGCACATGCTTCAAGGACTGGAAGATGCTAGAGAATGTAACTGTAGACACAAATTGCTTTGAAACTATTAACACAACAGCTTTATACACACATGTAATTCTTGTGTAGCCCTTTCTGAGAAAGCAAGCGTTTTGCTTGTAATCTTAACTGCTGTCCTATGTACATGAGAGAACTTAACTGGTAACGAAAATCACTGAGTGGGAAGATACAATGAGTTGTGAAGAATTGCAAGAGCTTTGCCTAGTGTTTCCTGCAGTGCAGCTGGATGGGGAAACTTGAGGAATGGAGCAGTGGTCCTCATTGGAGTAAATAACTTATTTTCTACACTGTAGCAATGCACAGCAGGGTTCTCCATAAGAAAACTGGTCTGAACAGATCTTTTGTAACAACAGGGAATAACAACCAGTTCCTAGTTCAGAAATTAGTAATTCAGATAATCCCCACAGATCATGTTTTCATTTTGCTGGTAGCAGGATGTGGTGCCACTTGTCTATGAAACAAATTAATAAAACCAATGTCTTAAGCATGTTTCAGAAGATTTATGATTGTCTGCCCTAAAATGGTGACACCTTAGACTTCCTTGTGTTTTAAAAAAATAAAAAATTAACAGTTGTCTCTACTACACTTACAGAGATCATTTGTGTATTATGAAATGTTTCTTAACTGTGTCTTTTGTGTTAGTAAACCTACTTTGTTGCTTTAACTAAATATTGCATTGAAGATGCTTACTAGATAAGCCTAAGACATTCTGCCTGATACCAGTATCAGTTGCAAGGGAATTCATCATGTCTCCTTCACATTGTTAAGTTAAAGCAATCACGGCATTTTATCTCTGGATATCTGCTGCCAATATATCTCTAGATTAGCTTATTTTTTTTCTCTTTTTATTAGGCAGAGAAATAGAAATCCTGGTATGGCACATACATACCTACATTGGCGACATGCAGTAACCCAGCAGCACCTTTGGCTGTTCTGTGTGATGGACTCTGAGTGTCGTTTTCAAAATGTTGTCTGTCTTCCTCCTCAGCAGGGAGTCTTTCCACCAAACATGTAACAGCAGAACAGCCGCTCCAGCGAACTCTGGAAACCTCGTTCCTCCCTAGTCGTAGAAGTCGATCCATCCTCCAAAAGGACTTGGCAAATGCTTTATGAATCCATTCATAAGTATTGGCCTTATCGGTCTCCTCGTTGCCTGGTTTATCAAAGAAAATCTTCTCTTTTTCCTTGTAATCTTCCCTGATTACTGTGGCAAAAGAATCTAGAATCTGCTGTTCATCCTTACTCTTCTTGTAGGAGGAATCTGTTTGAGACAGCTGGTCAAGAAATAGAAGTGGAAGCTCTGCTGCAACTGTTTCTGCAGCTGTCGCACCATGAGAGCCGTCAGCCAGCCCCAGAAAACACGTGTCTGACCTCTTTCCGTAGTTGTCGAGCACAATAAATCTGTCTTCCATGTCTTCCCGCCATGCGGAATTTTTATCTTGGCAAATTGATAATGCTTTTATTAGAGAATTAGTTACTTTCTTAAAACTGCTAGGGTTGTTAATACTGGCAAGATCACAATGTGATGTAGGAGTGTGATTATTCATAAGGAATTCAAATGAATAGTCAATCTTCTGCCTGTGTCTCTCAGAACATTTAGGAATCTTGACAAATTTTGAAATTAGTTTCTGTCTCTGAACTAAAAGTGTTTTCTTGTCAGTCTTCGTCTGTGCGCTATCAAAGCCCAGCAAAGTTAGGGCTTTGTGGGTTTTTTTATGATAAAGAAGATGATATGGATATATCGCTTGTTGACAGGCAGAGCAAAAAATTGAAATGTGCTTGGAATCACCATTCATGGGTGCAATTGTGACCTTCTCCAGCTGATCTTCCTCATCTCTGGAATGCTCAATGTCAGGTGAGTTGGTTTTGTTCTGTGACTTTTCCTCCCATGTCATTCTATAAAGGAGTCGAATATGTTAAAGAGTTTTCGTACTTCCATACTTCAATATTTTAACATTAGGTGACACTACATTTACCTAAGCCTTGCCCTCACGCTTACAAACTCTGAACTGCATCATTGTGCACTAATGCACAAACTAGAAAACTTCCATGAGATTATATAAAAATTGCAACTAATAACTGTTAAAAATCAGTGACATGGCAAATTCAAGAAGGGAGAAGTTTGGAAATACAGAATTGATGACACAAATTGCACTGAGTGAGATCTCAGTTGTTTCTTCCTTGTGATTCAGTGCATAGCCCTGTGCCTTCACTCTTAGAACTGTAAATATGAGATAGTTTCTCATCAGCTCCATCAATTTCTAGACATGGCAGTAGAGTGTAATTCCTACTTGAGGGTGGAAAAAATAAAAAGCATACTTGAGATAAAGATAAAAAAATCCTGCTAATATTTCATGGAAGATACAAAGCAAGGCCAGAAGCACTCGTGTGTCTCTTCAATCAAATTCACTCTCATTGCCAGCAGTTCTAGTTACGAGTCCTTTAGGAGTCGACTGGAAAAAAAAAAAAATTTATCCATTGTATCGAGGCTCAGAGAAAATAAATTACATTTTATTCTATTGTTTTTCTTGCTTACAAGAGCTAGATTTTGCAATGTTCCATGTTCCTTTAATGTAGGATGGATTTTGAATGTGTCAGTTTGTAGCTCAAGAAAGCATAATGAAGAGCAAAAGTATAATCAAATGGGCCAAGCAGTGTTGGAGCTTTTAGATTTTAGGGAATCACTCCTGCTCCTTGAGCTCAAGACCTGCCAGCAGCAGCACATCCTCTCCATTCACGCGCCGTCAGGATGGAAGGAGAGATGTGCTTTGCACCAGAGCTCACAGAAGAGCAGCGAGGCTGAAAATGGAATTGAGGCCAGGTCCTGCAAGGATGTTGTAGGGTATAGTCAGCACAAGCCTATCTGTTCTCCAGCCAAAACTAATTATCTTCTTCCCGTCCCTGTGCACCTCCTTTCTCCCGCTGCAGTCTCTACTTCCTCGCCAGCTCGGACTCCTTCCTCAGTGCCGTTTTGCTATTCTGGGCTCTGGCACCTGGTGGTACGAACCCAGGAGTCGGAGCTGTAGAGCAAGTCCTAGGGAGTCACTCCTTGATGGAGGCGAACTGGTGCCGAGGGGAATTCAGACCGAATTCAGCACCTACAGCCTGGCATGTTTCCACACAGCACCAGCAAACTGGTGCTTCTTTTTTAAGCATTGTATAACTTGCTCTGATTCACAAGAACTGACAAAAGGTGGACTGCTGATGCTGTCTTGTCCAAATTTCCAAGCCTTACTTTAAAACTTGACAGTCTTAGAGCTTCTCTATAAATTTGTTATTAGAATTTTGGTTTAATACAAGCGAAACAATATATTTTTCAAATCATGTTCTCAGAAACAGCTAAACCATATTATCTGAAGTTTTTCAAATTATTGTGCTTCAGGTTTGGAAAAAAAATCAGTAGGAACAGTTAATATCTGGCAGAGTCTTAAGTTACTAGAAATATGAGGCAGCCTTCTTATTCATAGCTGCACTAATAATTCTGCAGCACTAATAATTTGGAACGGGTAAGAAAACATGTATATACATACAGAGAAAGTACCAATATAGCTTAGAAATTAGATGAAATCAAAATTATTCTGACTGGCTGCTGTACTCTGTAAGGTGATGTGCAGCTGAGCTGTACAGCTGCTTGCGTAACATCCTCTTCCCCTCGGTCAGCACACAGCATACATGTATAGGCCTATAACACAAAGTCCGATACCACATGAGAAGCTCAGCCTGCTGGCCTGTACATCATCTAAGTATGAAAACGTAGTGTTTATTAAGTTAATGAAGTTTTATTTATTTAGTGTTTGGTGTTTGTGTGTATGGATGAGAAATGTTGGCAAAAAATGCTTGTGTTGGAGGATTTTATTGTATTCTCTGCTGAGATTTCTGACTTTCAGTGGTCATTGTTAACTGCTGTTAGTTAATCCAGGGCAAGCAGCGGGGGTTTGGCAGCAGTAATATTCCACAGCATCATGCAAGAGTAGCCTTTGGTAACTTCATCTTGCTTCAATCTCATCCACTTTCTGGGGCGCTTTCTTTAAACTTGATACAGCCACACCTTAAAGTAACTATTTTGCAACTGTTAGCTCTCCCAGCATTTCAGCTGAGAAGCACATTCTCTTCTGTCTCTTTATTTCTGTTCCTCATCTCTGGCTTATAAGCATTCCTATGATTTGCTTTTCAAGGCATGCACTTTTTTTCTGCGGTGTCGGTTTTTTGACAAAATTCCTTCAACCATTTTAAGAATTACGTGAGTATTAAAAGGCAAAGCCCTGGCCTCCTCCAGCTCCAGTTAATCTTAATACGTCTTAAGGAGTTGAATGCCTCTGATCAGCTGAGGTAGATTTTCCTTTTTAGCATTTTATAATTGATCTCTTTGGTAGAGGGCGATACCACTTAAAACCCCTTTGACGCTGTAGTGTACCTTGTCCTTGCAGGTGGCCACAGCTCTCAGTCTGCTGTAGGACCAGTTTATGGGAAAGTCCGTGTCTCTGCCAGAGGTGAGCATCAGCCTCCTTTAGAAATGCTGCCCCAGCCTCACTTCAGCAGGGCAAGGTAAGGAAGCAGGTGATTAAAATAGCAGAGAAAGATGTGCTTGCACAGATCCCTTTTCCTTCATTCTGCATAGTCTGAATTTGAGACTGGAAGGTTACATGAGCCTTTTCACTGCTGTCATCGTGATGAGGCACTCAAGCGTGTGATAAATTAGGACTAATATATACAGAAAACCTGGTAAGCTGCTTTTCATCAGCCTTTTAAATATGAACCCATTTTACATTTAGTCTATAAAAGCCCCTTGGATTAGAGACAGGAAATTGAGGACTTTCAACAAAATGTTAGTTTGACCTCAGTAAACTTAATTCGTAACAAACATACTGTATAGATGTTTATATCTCTGTAAGTAGGTGTGACTTTGGAGCACCAGAAAAGTCCTACTTTAATACAATGTGAAAATAACCAGAATAATGTACATGATAATTCATGTAGAACAACAAGATATGCTACAACTCTTCAGTTGCAATCATTTTGTTCATAATCATTAAAAGGGCAGCCTTGGTGTTAATTTTTTTTTTAGTAGAGGTACACTACTTATGTTAATAGCTGAAAATCTCATAAAAATGAAATAAAAAAGGTAACATTTCCTTTGTTGATCTCTTATGAAGTAGAAAAGATTAGTCTGTATTTCCTTCTCTCCTTGCATTTCCCTCATCAGGAACAGACAGACTTGCAAGTTTTTTGCTGTCAGGTTAAAGGATAACAGTGAGATACTGACAGCACAAGACATGAAGATAAAGCGTTCTCGGACTTGGAGAGTGAAAGATAAAATTCAGCTTTCTAGCTCACTGCAGCTTCCCTGTGCCTATTTAGGGAGCCAAAATCCAGCACTGTTTAATGTTTTGGCTGAAAATAGAAGTAGATAAAAAAAAGAGATGTAGAAGAATGGGGAGCAAACGACAGTTTAAGATTGTATGTGTTTTAAAGGGCACAAATCATATTAACTGTTTGTGCCACAGTAAAGAGCCTCTTAGTCAATGCTTAGTCCTGGTGCTAGCAAAGGGAGGCTGCTTCACCTATGCTGTGTGCTGCCCTGCCTGTAAAAGGGGCAGAACCTGGATGAAGAATGAGGCTGCAGGCCAGGGGCTCATACGGCAGAGGAGACCATGACCTGAGTAAACCTATTATTTCTGGAAACCCTCTAGCTGTGGCAATTGGAGTTGCTGTTCATAGAGCAAGGCATGATAATTTTTTGTTTCTGTAGTTTGGCACTACAATCTCATTTTTTAATTAGCGAAGATGTCACTACTTGAACTTTCAGGACCCAGGATCTGATTCGTATCCAAGCAGCAGAGTCCCATATGCAGTCATCTCCCTCTGACACATACAGTTCCTGTCTCCACCCAGATTGTGCTTCTTCCTCACTTACCTTTGTCATGGTCAGCACTTAATTTACACAATCTCTAGTCCTGAACTCCTTCATCCCTGGGATGTTTTTTTATTATTATTATTATTTGCTACATACTTGTGGCCTGAGAAAACGGTGATGATTATGGATGCTGAAACCAGCACTGGGATGATGCCTGCCTGCCTGCCTGCCTGTGGGTGATAGGAGGAGGCAGGGAAGGGCTGTGTAATATAAAATGGAGCTCATAGCATTGCTGAGCTTCTCATCACAATATTATCAGCTAATACATATAAACAGACTGCACTGCTGCAAATTCTTGCTGAACGAGGACCTACTCCTGTGGGCAGGTTTTCCTTTGTCCTCATTTTACTTCTTGCCATGCCTTTTCTCCGCTCGTGCCTCAGCCAGCGCTTCCGTCTCGGTCACCCCTTTGCCCTGTGCCTGTGATGCCATGATACAGCATCATTACCTTCACGTGTTCAGCCCTGCTCCTCTCCTCCTGACTGATTTCCCTTTGCTCCACCTGTCACAAAGTTTGGTAAGGGCACCTCCCCTGGAAAACTGTTGGCAAATGCATCACATTTGTGTACAGAAGCCATGGTGGCGATTCCGCCTCACCAGGACTGGCCTCTGTGAAAAAGCCGCCATGGGTGGCCAGCGGGGCTGTGGCATTTGCCCTGGTGCGGGTTGACAGCACTGCAGAGTGCTGGCCCTGTGGCACAGTCCAAGTCAGGGTACAGGCAAGCCCTGTTGCCCACGCAGGGGCTGCCTTACCAGGTCCTGGTTTTACGTGGCTACCTTTGGCTGAAGCAGCAAAGAGCTTATGTCTTATGTGAAAAACTTCATATAGTCTTTATTAAATGTATATAAGACCCCTAAAAAACTCTCCACGTGAAAAGACAAACCTGTCTGATAACTGAGCAGCAATGCCCTACACTTCCACCCCTTTTGGCAGGGCTGGCTCTCAGTCTCCAGAACTGTCAGCAGAGGGAATGCTGCAGG